ATGCTAGCTTTGAAGTTTCCTCACATGCTGACAGAAGGATTTCTTGCCGTGGCTCAAGAGCTTTTGGGGCACATCTTTTTTTTTGTGCCAGGGATGGAACTCAGGACCTTGTGCTTGCTAGGCAGGTGCATATGCTGCTGAGCTAGCTACCTTGCCCCAGGGCACATCTTCAGTAAGGTTTTATCTAGGCTTTTTTTGAAGCCTAACCACAGGGTACCTTCATTCTTGTCCTCACTGAGTGGTTTTGTGATCATAGCAAGAACTTTTTCCTTCTTTTTCTTCTCCACCTTCAGTTTAGCAACTGTGTACTTTCTCTTGTACAAAGCCTTTCTGGAATACATAGCAGATGGTAAGTATACCAATTCCTCTAACCAGACAGGATTTCAGCTGCAGTGGGGCTGCCCCTTGGACTTTTTTGCTTTCACTTTACTCTTTTTACCAGTGCCACTGGCAACAGCCTTCTTGGCTTTGGGTGTCTTCTCTTTAGTATCTAGCTTCTCAGTTTTTTCACCTGCCATCTTGCAAGATGGGAAAGAACAGGTATAAAGTCTTTGCTTATACCTGTTCTAAGGCTAAGAGGCCCAGTTACAAATAGCAAGAGTTCTATGTATTCTATCTTCCAGCAGATAGGGTTTCACTTTTAATATTTGGGTCACTGATCCATTTTGATTTTAGTATAGTGCATGGTAAGTGATATGAGCCTAATTATTTTATTTATTTTATTTTTTTGAGACAGGATCTTGCTGTGTAGTTCTGACTGGCCTGGAACTCACTTTGTAGCCCAAGTTGGCCTTAAACTCATAGAGATCCTCCTGCCTCAGACTTCCAACTGCTAGGATTGCAGGCAGGAGCTACTACACCCAGCTAGTTTAATCTTTGGTATTTGGAAAGTCAGTTTTTTCAGAACCATTAAAGAGGCTTTCTTGGGGCTGGGGACATAGCTCAGTAGAATAAGCATTTGCCTGGCAAGCACAAGGGCCTGAGTTCAATCCCCGGTTCTGGAAGAAAAAAAAAAAAAAAAAGCAGCAGCTTTCTTTCTTTCTAGTAAGGTGTTTGGGGCTGGCATGCACGCCAGTTATCAAACCTGGCCGCTGAGCTCTGCCTAAGCAGGCTTAATCCACTGAGCTATTCTGCCTTTATTTCTGTGAATAGGTTTTATTTATGTCTCCTGCTTTTTCACTGACTGATCAATCTTATTTTGTTCTTCTTTGCCTCATCTAGCAACTGGTGAATTTCTTGTGGTCCCTTGCTGTTTTTAAGAAATCTTTGTTTTCATGATCCCTAATTTCAGTCCTGTCTTCTGTATCTGAAATTTTGTCATCATATTGGCTCATCCTTCTATGTATGCTTTCAGTGGAATTTTTTTTTAGTACAGGGACCGGGGAGATGGCTCCGTGGAATAAGCGCTTCCCTGGCAAGCATAAGGGCCTGAGTTCAATCCCCAGTTCTGCCAAAAATAAATAAATAAAAATGTATTTTACTACAGGGTCTTACTGGGTCTCACTGCACAGATCAGACTGGTAGTGATTCTCCTGTTTCCAGCCTCCCAAGTGCTGAGATTACAGCCAGGTGTCACCATGCCCAGTCTCAGTTGCCCTCTCAGCACACCTCGGGGATGGAGCTGGCATAGCACACTGGGAATCAAACCCTGGTCGCTGTGCCTGCCTAAGCAGTCAGTGGAATTTTTAATCTGGATATCTGTTGGAATCTGTTTCATGGATTACATTTCTTCCCTGTGTTGCGCATTCATAGCTACCATCATTTTCCTAAGCTTTTCTCTCTTTTCTCTCTT